AATATGTTGGGATTGAAGTTGTCTGATATGAATGGTAGTATGGTAATAGATACTCCTGCTAGTGGTTCTGTTACTACTACTTTTGTTTGTTCAAGATGTCCTATAACCATTCATGGTAAGAGTTTTTTTGATGGATTTGGTGTGTCTTTCCTTGCACCAAATTGATGTTATTCTTGGGATGAACTGGTTGGAGTTCACCTATGTTCATATCAATTGTTATAATAAAACTTTGAAGTTCCCTAAGTTTGGTGATAATGGAGAACTAATGTTGTTGTCTGCTAAGCGAGTGAATGAACTTTTAAAAGATAGAGCTTTGATGTTTGCAATGTTTGCATTGTTGCAAGTTGATCGTAAAACTGCGATCATTGATTTACTTGTTATCTGTGAATTTCCAGAGGTGTTTCCGGATGATATAAGTGATTTACCACCAGAACATGAAGTGGAGTTTTCTATAGAATTGGTGTTATGTACAAGTTCGGTGTGAATAGCTCCTTACAGAATGTCAGCTTCCGAGCTGAGTGAGTTGAAGAAACAAGTGGAAGAGATGCTTGATAAGAAGTTTGTCTAACCCAGTGTTTCTCAGTGGGGTGCACATGTGTTGTTATTTAAGAAGAAATATGGAAGTATGAGATTATGTATGAACTATAGACAGTTGAATAAAGTGACTATTAAAAATAAGTATCCACTTCAGAGGATTGATGCTTTGATGGATCAGTTGGTGGGTGCTTGTGTTTTCAGCAAGATTGACTTGAGGTCAGATTCTCATCAGGTTCGTGCTAAACCAGATGATATTTCGAAGACGTATTTTTGAACAAGGTATGGTCATTATGAGTACAATGTGATTTCATTTGGTGTATCTAATGTGCCAGGTGTTTTCATGGAGTATATGAATCAAACATTTTTCATTCTTAGACGATCATTATAGATAATAATTCCAGCAGTATATGTCTATAGCAACCCAAACCCCAAGCACAGAGCAAAAATCCAGGACAACAATCGACAAAGATTTGTAAAGCAAGTTTTATACAACGTCATGGGCGACAAATATATATGAATTCAAATTAAATACATATACAAATTCAACAAATAAAGAATACAAAAATAAAAAGAGAAACGAACCATAAATCTCTCAGTTTGTCAACACTGATCGAAGAGCAATCTACCCTGAATCATCCGTATGCAGGCCTCATGGTTATTTTCTAAGCTAACCCTAAGGAAAAATGAGGGTTGGTGAATTTGGGAGCTAAAACTATCCCCAAACCCATAACCATAACAAATAAAACGAAATAGAAATATATACAAAAATTTGTCCAGACACAGTCGCCCGACGATGGTTCTTTATTCCTTGACCCAGCCTGCACCATGCACGCAACAGGTAACAAATATCTTCCATCGTCCAGCAACGGAAAGCTTCGCATGACACACCTTTATTCCTCACTCGACGACACAGCAGTGAAGCAAGGCAGAGAAAACTGGAAAATAATCAACTCCTCTCGCCCCACGCTCGCTCGGCGACGCAGAAGCGCAAGCTCGTCGCCTGACACCCAAGTGCATCGTTCGATGCTGCACACCAGAACAATAACTTTTGTTGCTTTCTTTGCATAACTTGCACTGGTTTTTCTCCTTTTGCCTTATTTCTTTATTGATTAAATGCATATCTTGGAACTCCATTTGGACTTTATTCTCAATGCTCCAATAATGCTTGAATACCTACAAAAAAATGAATATAAAACTATCAAATGATACACTATGTACACAAAAACACAAATATATATAAACTAAACGAATTTACCAACAAAACAGAGGATTATTCACAAAATATTAACAAAAGCATTGATAAATACAACAAAAAATATATACAAAAATAACTACAATTTTCACTTATCATGTATCAAAGATTATGTCGTTGTTTTAGGCTACTCTTTGCACCCTTTTGCACCGTTATATGTTTTAAGTGTATTCTCACCCCTTTAAGATTTGAAGAATGACATTGAGGATATTCTTCTTTTCCCGTTTTATGTGATACTTAGATTTTGTTTCTTTGATTTGTAACATTGGGCGGGTGAACCTTATGTTTTGTTATTATTATTATTTTTGAGTTGTTGTTGCAAGAGCAGATGTTATAACTCTTGATACTTTTTTGAGTTGTTTAGATGTTGGAGGCTTTTGTTATAATTATGTTTAATTTCGAATAAGAATTTATCATGAAACCTAGTTAATATATGAGTTATGTTTTGTTGATTAATTCTGTTGTGATGAGGCTAAGTAAAGGCGAGCATGTGATAACAAATGTTTATATTATATTATATTATGTTTTATTTAAACCATGTTACGAAACAGATTTATGTTGTGTTTGTGTGATACCCTATATGAATAGTTGTTTTAAATTCGTATTATATATATTGGGATTTTAGGGTGTTACATATAATCTCTTACCTTTGAAAGTGACCTAGGAGTGTAACAGTCCCCTAGATCATGGATTGCACAGATAGTCTTCAACTCTCAAGTGTGACATACGGATCATTGATCTCTCTACTCTATCTCATGAGAACTCGGACCCGTGTTACCTAAGTATATGGCCGGAACTATATGTTGTGATCGGATCTACACAAATCCCACTCTATATAAATATAAAGTGGTTATGTCATACCCCATGTATAACTTGATAGACCAATAACCACAATGATCCCCCACATCTTAATCTAGTTTATGGGATCATCAATATCCTACTACGACTTTGTGAAACTCCAATTCTGCTTTAGTTTATACATCCAGGAGCATGCGTTGTTATCCACCCATTCTCTATATGTTCAACAGCTAGACATCTGGACAACTCTCCTTAAGGTTGTCACCCCACGAGCCCTCCAGCCACCAACACTCACTATGGACTCAAAACAGCCATATAATGCCAAATGTTCGGAGTTCGTCTACACGAGACATAATTAATTTAGGCTTGTCCAGTGACACTCCTACTACCACGTAATGATAATTTCACTAATTATATTACTATCATGTGATATTAACTAACTAGGGTATCACATTCGTAGGATGATGTTCACAAATCCCTAGCCAATGTTAGGTTCAAACAATGCAATTAGGATTCATCCTTGCCATTATCTGATTATTTTAATTGGAATACAGCTTAAGAAATCTCATGTCTCACATAACATGGTTAGCACTCGGGCACTCGTCACTTAGAATAACCCAAAGTACGCAATACCCAACAGATCCTAGTGTATCCTCTCTTGGTCTCAACATGGCTACATGACTAATCACTCTACTTGACAAACACGTGTACCTTTAGATTTTCAATCTGATCCTCATGACATTTATGCCTAAGATTTGCCTTAATAGTCCAAGAGATCAGTTACGATCATGAGTTAACTCTACTTGACAAACACGTGTACCTTTAGATTTTCAATCTGATCCTCATGACATTTATGCCTAAGATTTGCCTTAATAGTCCAAGAGATCAGTTACGATCATGAGTTAGGGTTGATAACATGATTTAGGGATCAATTAAGATCGTTCCTACACATAGAGAACATTTCTTTAAGTGTTAGCTGCTAATTATTTATGCATTTGTCTATTTATTTACTAAGTGATAGTAGATATGGAATGCTACAACACTAAGAAAGTGTAATATTGTGAGATTTGGTGAAATCCATTTTAAAGTTTTTGATGATTGTATAAATAATTTGAAAATGTAATATAATGTAAAAATAAAAAAAATTGAGAGAGAGACTCATTTAAATAGCCCACTTGTATAATGAGTGTTGGTACTCTAAGGATACAAAATTTGATATCATTACTTCAAAGTTTGGTGTGCTTTAGTTGCAGATGGTTAGTAATGAGAAGTCAGTGACTCAATCTTTTGAATTAATTTTATAAACATTCAACACGAGTTTTACACGACAAACTACAACCAAGGAAATCAATGGATCAGATTTAGCTTCTTACAAAACCGTAATAGCTTCAATAGCAACCGACAATCTCAATGATAATAGGGAAGAATACCTTCGAACCAAAGGAATAACAAATGACTATTATGATTAATCTATAATGACCCATTTATTCCTCGTGTAAGAGACTACCAATTAAAATGAGACAAAATACAGGACTTTTGGAGAAGGAGATCTAAGGGAAGAAACTCCCTTTCTATGGTACCGTTGACAGCAAAGAAACTCTTTATTATTTATACTTAAAAACAAGCAAATAACCATCATAAAACTGAAGTCGACGTCTTCTTCAGTAACAGTTAAAACAATTAAAATCATGTTGGTCTCCGTAAGAGAACTGAATAAAATATAAATGACTAAAGTTATGCAGTTCCAGTTTAACATCAACCTAGAAATAGCGAGATAAAATGCTAACATAACAGAGCTAGATCAACTGGTCTTGGGGTCTGGCATTGGAAAGAGACCAGCACCTGCACCCCTTGGTGGTGCAAAACCCAAGAACTTCTGCAGATTTGTTCTGATACTAATGGAACACAAGAAGTATAGAAACGCCATGGAACAATCAGTGGGATCATTACCTTGCAGCCCACGATGGCTCATCTTCATAACAAGCCCAAAAGGCTGGAACGGCAATTTGGCAACTACCTTGCCTTCGAAGAGTGAATTTAGCAATCCAAATACCACAAAGAGAACAAGAGCAACCACACCCCCTGATTTGAACTTGAAGAGAGACAAGTCACGACTAGATTCTTTGAGGCTTGTCTCAACACGGTCAATTTTTTTGGTCTTGGACTTCTTAATGGTGATTTTGTTGCTGTCGGTCTTCATAGTCTCGAGTTTCTTGGATGCTTTGTCAATGGAGGACCGAAGGTTCTTGTAAGAATTGGTGCGGTAAATGAGAATCCATGAGATGGCCTCACAGACAATAGCTGTACAGAAGGAGATACCCACTACAGTGAGGCCGTCAGAGTACTTGAAATCTGAGAAGGGATATGCCATGGAGGGTAAAGAAAAATCTAGGAGAAACAGAGCGAGCAAACTTTAATCCTTGAATCCTGCGTAATACACAAGTGCCAAGTCATTAACTATATAACTCCTGTTTATAGAACATTAAAAAGGGATGTAGGCATTGAAATTTTGAATACAGAATTAAAAATAGGCAACAATTTAGAATCAGAAAGAACTAATCCATAATCATATTTAGCTACTTTTTATGAATTTCCATTTTCTCAATGTTATGCTAGACAAAATGCACACATCACAGCTGAAGAATATATAATGTGCGAAAAGAACAAACAGCAAACTGGGACTTGTACTTACTGTATTACTGTGAAACATATAATACTCAACAATTTGGTTATAAGACAAAAAAAAGGGAAACTGTTCCGAGATTGAGTTTTCTAAGATACATAGTAAACAAATTCATTAAAATATCCTAATTAAAAGTTCACTGTTCTTAATTCTAAAACAAAAATAATAGGAATATTTTACCCAACATTACATATACAAAAACAGGGGAACAACTAACATTATATATTTTATATTTATAATATATAACAAAGAGATGACTAGATACTTCGCATAACCAGAGAATACTGAATACTACATGTAACCAGAACCGATTTTCCATGTTGTTTGCTGGCATTTCATACTAATCTGTTCATAAAGTATAGTTGTAAATAATCAAGATTCAATTCTGCAATGAGACCTCTAAAGTACTCCCTACATAACAAAATATAAGAAAAATTTGGTACATCTAAGTTATAACAAAATATAAGCAAGGAATTGACTTTTTTTCATCCTACTTAATGATAGTATATCAAAACTGAGATTAATAATTAGTGACACTTTTATATGCAATTATATGAGATGAGGGATGATTCAGGTTTTGCATAATGAAGTTGAAGTTTTAAACAAGATTAACAAAAATGAGTGTGAATAACTAATTATCTTAAAAGTTGTGAGTGGTTAATTATGCTTATATTTTGTTAGGAAGGAGCATTTTCTTGGTGGACGATTTGTGTTAATGTATGCCATTTTATCTAGCAAGTCAATGGAATTGCTTATTACTTCTTTAATAATAAACCAACTAATAATAGGATACATTCACAGAGTCTAAAAGTTTTGGAATTATTCGTCTTTCTGATTGCGCTAAATATTATTAGTATTTGACAAATTGGCAACATGCCAATAATTGTCAAACCATCATGTATATTCAAAACTATTAAACTCAACAACATCAGCTGAGCATTCTTATGGGTTGCCCTTATACAAGAAATTTAAACCAGAAAACACCCATCTTCAGCCTCTTACTTCAGAATTTACTTTTATAAGTTCTACCAAATTAACGTTAAATATTTGCTCATTATATAGTGTGAACTAACTGACTTTTTACCGAGACTTACAGCACAAGTTTTTGCTTCCATTCCAACCGCATATGGGTTGTATACATATCAGCTATAATCAAATTTGCTTCCAGGGAAATGTTATCTTTAGATTTACTAGAAACAGCCCTAACGCTATAATTGGAAGCAGAACTAGAAAATGAAGTATTGGAAAGCAAAAACCTTAGGAGGAGAATTCTGAAAAGCAAAGTCAACATGCTAGAAACAGATATAATGGTCATCAGAATAAGAGATACTTTAAAAAGTATATGCACCGACTAACATTGAACCTTGAATAGAAAACTAAGGGAATGTTTAAATATGTGGTATAAGAAGGAATAGCGTGAAATGGAATGATATAAGATAACATCCATTTATCAAAATCTAACTAGCCTATTCAGTTTGACACTATACCAATGGAAAGAGAAAAAAAAACTATCAAGTAATTTCACACCATGAACTTTAAATTAAAGTTCATGGGATATACACCAGAGATCCGTATGGCCTCAAAAGTGAGGCTATTGTGTACTAGGCAACGCAATATAAGTACTATAGGCACATCACGTCATGGCATAAGGCAAAAAACAGCATCTAATTTTTTAAATATTACAACAACGAACAACCTCCACCAAAACATTTTACCAATAGGAGGCATTTGAGAAGACAACTAAGTGAAGCGCTTGTGCCATTCAAATTCATAAGTGCTATACATGATGTTTCTACAATCAAAAAGGAAGATAAGAGTAAACTTTGTATAAGCAGCTTCTAAGCGTGTGTTTGGTTCTGCAGTTGAAAAAATTGATTTTAAATGAATTGATTATGTAAAATTGACACTAGCTAAATTTATGTAGAAATGGGTTGAACAACAAATTTCAATGTAAAAATAACGTCTAAATTCAAAAGCTACAAATTTTAGTTTCAAGTAGAATCAATCTTGTAGGCAGAATCAAGTTTACTTTAGAAGAACCAAACACTTCAAATTCATTCCAAAATCACATCTACACCTCTAAAATTGTTTTTGGATCTTCCAAAAGTTAAATCAAACATACATTATGCGTATGTTTGGTTCTGAGGTGAAAAAAAAATTATTTTGAGTGAATTGATTCTGTAAAAATGATTCTGGTTAAAAGTGAGTTGAATGTAAAGTGATTTATGTTCGATAGCTTTATGCAAAAAAAATTCCCCAAAAAAAAAAAAAACTTTATGCAAAATTGAGTTGAAAAAGTAAATTTCGATGTAAAAATCACGTTTAAACTCAAAAACTACAAAATAGAATCAATTCTGGAGCCAGAATAAATTCTACTTGAAGAACCAATCATCTCAAAATCAGTCCTAAATTAATTCTACACCTTTAAAATTGTTTTTGGATTTTCCAAAGATAAACACACATTCAATTCCCACATATTAACATAAACAGATCCTAAAACAATCAGTGACAGCAGAGAAATTAAGCAGTAATAACAGATCTTAAAGTAATATAAGTAATTCAAAGTTTCAAACCTTCAAAAACAGATCAACAGAAACAGCACCTATACCAAATCCACCGATATTACACAATCTACAAGATTTTCTATCAGAGAAATAACGATAGATGAGACCTGAGATGAGTGAATACCTTGAGGAATCGCAGAGACAAATGAAGCGCGTTCACAGCTCAGCGATTCGCAAAGTTCGAAGCTGCGATTAGAGAGGATCGCGACGGCAACGAAGGAAGGAAGTGGAATTGAGATTTGAAGAGTTGACGAAGACAGTGGGTTTTGATCATTCAAAACTCTGATTAGGGTTGCACTTACGAGAGTGAGGGAGAAAAGATATTTACAATTTTGGATCAAGTTTGTTTATCTTTAGTTTTTCTTTTATTTAAGAAAAATTTTAATGGATAAGACAAATTCATTTGAATTACATTTTTTTTCTCACCACCAATTTAATTTAGTTCGGGATAATGATTTTAACTCCATCTCAATTACAATTCTGGAAGTTTTCTTTTCTAAATCCAACGCCAATTATTATTAGATCATTTGAATTACATTAGTTTGTTATTCAAAGTTCACTTGAATCCCATTAAAAAAAATATGTTATCCAAAGTTCACTTGAATCCCATTAAAAAAAAATATTTTAATAGGTTTAATGTTTCTTGTAATTGTTTTTTTTATATATATATATATATATATATATATATATATATATATATATATATATATATATATATATATATATATATATATATATATATATATATATATATATATATATATATATATATATATATATATATATATATATATATATATATATATATATATATATATATATTAAATATTTTTTTTAGAGTTAAACATGTATGTGTTCCATTTAAATAACTAAAATCAAGGATAGGTACTCTTAAAACTTTTGCTTAACAATTTTAATCACTACCAAAATAAATAAATTGCAGGAGTTAAAATCTCCTTAACTTCATTCAAATATGGTCGATCATCCGTTTCTCATAAGATTTGAATTCGAGAAGTTTAATTCGAACTTTGTAAATCTACCACTATGATTTTCAACCATGAAGTGCATCAAGCTTTAGATTGTTGAATTTTACAGTTATGGAATAAGTGAATCAAAGAATTCTATCAACATTGACTTCTCAACGGCCACCTACCACCTATTTGTTAAAATGCATGCATTTGCTTTGCAAAGTCATGAGCACCAAAAATCTACCACTTGGTTTGTTGGTTCTTAATGCAACACCACCATCTGTATCATCTACTAGGAGATAAATTGTTGTAAAGATTAAATACAACTCTAGGAATGTTGAGAAATTATAAAGTTAATAATTGTCTCGATCATATCATATTTGTGTTTATAGGTTATAGTATGCTTAATCAATATACATTTGTTTAATGAGTTTATTGGATAGACATTTCACTGTATCCTTCCTAATTCAAGTTGATGAATTATTATATTTTCTGGTTTTATTAGGGTGCATCATGTTGGGTAGTCCTGAAGATTCGGAAGCACCAATGAGAGTAATGCTCTAGGACCACAAGAGAGAGAGACCAAGATCTCAACCAAAAATCTTAAGGTGTTAGGTAAATGAGTTTTCTCTCTTATAAATCCAACATTTCACTCATTCATAGGAAATAGATATTTTATTGTATCCTTCCTAATTCAAGTTGATGAATTATTACATATTTTGGTTTCATTAGGGTGCTTCATGTTGGGTAGTCCTGGAGAGTCGAGAACACTAGTGAGACTAATGCTCCGGGACCACAAGAGAAGGAGACACTGAAGAAGTGAAAAACACAAGAACGGGGGTTGAATTGTTAAAACTTGAAATCAATTGCAATGAACACGGTATTTTTATCCTGGTTCGTTTGATCTCAAACTACTCCAGTCCACCCGTCAAGGTGATTTCGCCTCTCTCCAACGAGGTCTTAATTCACTATATTCAACTGAATATTACAATCTGCTTTAACAACTGCTAAAGCCTTCTTGAAGCAAACCACAAACCGGTTTCTCAAGGAATCACTTTCTTACAAAGAATTGAAATCTAGGTGTGTGAATGTTTTCTACAAAACAGTTTATCACAACTGTGATATTACACAACTTAAGCTTATGGAAACTAGATTGCTAAAATAATTGAGTAAGAAATTTTTGGAGCTTTTAGCAAACTGAGAATAAGAAGATGATGAATAGCTTTTTAGGCGTGGAAATTGTTGTAGAGCATTAGCCAATTCAATCTTCATTGACTTGTTTATATAGCATTGAAATTGATGAACGTTGGAGCAATAATTCTGATTCAATGCCAATAACAATCTTTCCTTATTAAGCAGATCTTGTCTGGAATGATGCCGTTGGTAATAACTCGTATTGAATGCACAGTACCGTTGCAACTAAGGTGTGTTCTGGCTTTGGCTCATTCTGATGCTGCTTAAGTGCTGATGAACTGTTGTTGTCTTTATCAAAGTTCAGAGTGTTGAGCGCAGTTCTGTTCATCAAGCTTCAGCATAAGCGTGAGTTGTTCTTATGATCTTGGTATCTGATATAGCATCTTCTAATGCTGATGTTGATATTCAATATTTTGATGCTGATTATGATATACTCTTGCTGATACCTATCAGAGTTTCTGCAAAATAGAAAGTAATATTTTAGGTAGCAAATAGTTCTTACATGAATCACATAATTAATATATCATTTCATTTTGTTATCATCAAAACTTAAACTTAGGGTAGTAGATTCAAACTTTGTTCTAACAATCTCCCCCTTTTTGATGATGACAAAAACTAGATATTTTTTAATTGAGAATAGCGTGAAAAAGTATCAGAGATAACTAAATGATATGTTGCATCAGAATTAAATAAGGAGTTATCAAAGATAAGGGATAAAGAGATATCAGAGATAGGATCGGAGATACTCCCCCTGAATTTATTACTTCCCTTTTTAATTCCAAGAGTTCTTCAGGATCAGATCTTTATTGAATTCTTGAACATCAGAATGTTAGAGCTTTGACTATCAGAACTTCAGATCAGAATATCAGAGCTTTATCAGAGCTTTGCTTTGGATCAGAGTATCAGGGCTTTGGGCTTCAGTGTATCAGAGAGCATTCTTGTACCTGTAGACTTATACAAACACAAAAAACATTCAAGTATATCAGAGTTAGAATGTTTGAGACTTTTTGTCTCAGTAATCCGTTATTGAAAAATATCATTCTTGTTCTCCCCCTTTTTGTCAGCAATCAAAAAGTGTAAGTGATGTGCTAAAACGATTAGAGCAGAAAAACTTGTTATATTAAAATATTCAGAGCCAGACAAAACAGTACAAAAGATATGCAAAGAAAACATTGAAAATATCATGAATGAAAAACTAAGGTTGGGGTGGAAGGCGTGTGAACAGAGTCTCCAGCATTGCTTTAATCTGATCAGCAGTCTCATTCTGCTTGTGCACCATGCTGACTACTGTATCTATCTTGCTGTCCTGCACATCCATCCTTTCCTTCATCTTCTGATCATTTTCATCCATTCTTTGCTGCAGACGAATATCATTCAGCTTCAGCTCTTCCAGAGTCTGCCTGTCCAAGGCAGCTTGAGAAACATCAGAAGCAGGGAGCTTCTGAGAGCTTTCTGCAACATCTTCAGCTTGTCTGACTTCAGCTTGAGTTGTCTGATCTTCTTCTGGCTGCACTTTTGAAGCTGGACGCTTCTCAGACCATGGCTCACTATCCAGAAGGAGCACGTCTTCCTGTGGCAGCTGACTTTCAACTTCCTTCAGCAGCTTGCTGAAGTTCTGTTGTGCCTGCTCATAGTTGATATCCTGCAACTTGAGGGCTTCAGCACGTACCCAAATTCTGAAACGTGACCAGAGCTGGTCTGAGGCAGCAGGATCAATCATTCCAGGACAGACTTGCTTCAGAGAAGCAATCCACTGCTGCAAACCTGTTTCAAAATTCACAATGCCAGAGCCAACATCTGGCTGTTTTGGTTTTGGAATGGCTATTTTATGTTTGAGATCAGCAAGACGATCAAGGATTGTTAAATCGATGAAGGTCCTGCTGGGGTCTTCTGTAGTTTGTTTGGGAGATGTTTGTTTGGGAGATGGAGTGGGAGGGTCAGAAATAATAATTGGACTGTGTGGGGTTTTTGGAGTATTTGGAGGGGTAGTTTCTGGCGAGGATGGCAGCTGGGCCATGGTTACAGTTGTTCCACATGGCAGCTGAATTGCCAGAGGTTGTGGCTCAGAGGATTGAGGAGAATGAGGTTCAGGAGATGGAGTTTCAGAATGATGAAACTCAGGTTGAGGAGGTGATGGAGGAGGTGATGGTTGAGGTGATGGTGGATGAATTTCTGGTTGAGGAGAGGGAGGAGGAATTTCTGGTTGTTGAGAAGGAGGAGGAATTTCTGGTTGTTCAGGAATTTGTGGTTCTGTGTTTGGATTATCTGAGAGGTGATCAGAAACACGTTGATCAATGTCAGACAGAACTTTGTCAAGTTCTGATGTTGTTGAAGTTGTTGGTTTGGGATGTTTGGTGCGGGGTCTTCTGAGAGTCAGTGACTCAGAAGGGTCATCTTCTGGTTCGGTTTCATCTATAGTTGGTATGGGGATTGGAATTTCATGTGAAGCTGGAGTTGGGATTGATGTTGGGATAGCAGAAGAATTTAAAACAGAAGCAGCAGATAAATTACCTCTTTTCTTGGGAGTCTGTTGGGATGTTCCTTCTGAAGTGGCCTTCCTTTTCTTCGTCTTCTTCAGTGTAACTTCTGGTTGTTGTTGGTGCAGATCTTTGATATTCAGCTTGGGATCTGTACCATCAGCCTTGCACGCGTCCAAGTATCTGAGAACCACCACTGGTTTAGATTCTATCTCAGAAAATAATGGAATGTCGCTCAGTGGGACTCTTCTGCTGGTGATGTCAGCAATAGGAGTAACGCTGGGTTCCTTTCTGATATTCTCTATTAATTTCATTTTCTTCAGATTCTTGGCGTTCAGAGGCTTGCCAACAGTTGGTTCAATAGTGCTTAACTCCTGAGCTTCTATAAGGTGCTCTATCAGCCTATTCTCAGTCAGAATATCTGATATTAACCTTCCAAAGGGTATCCAATCCCTCTTTGTTCTTTCTTCTTCCCTGGTTTCCTTGACGCTTGTTCTGAGGTGATTAAACAGAAGATGAGCCAAGTTGATTTTTACCTTCTGATTAATAAAGTAGATCAGAAACTTCTGATCTATATTTATATTATCAGGGGAACTTGTTGGCTTCCTATGATTAAAGCACCCCAGAATGATCTTCGCCCAAACTCTGTGGTGATCCTTTAAGTCTCTGATTTTGCTGCTGGGCACCCCAAGGGTGAAAATCTGTTCTGCTATGACACCAACGTCAGAGCATCTTTCAGCCATATCAATACAGCGAATGCCACCGCCACTGTAACCAATCAGTTTTGCTATGTGATCCTCAGTGATCACAATCTTCTTTCCTATTATGTAGGAGGTGACTTGATGCGTTGAAGAGGACGCATGAATCCAGAACTCCTTGACCAAAGCTGGGAACGTTGGTCCAACCAACCTGTCAAAATATCTCTTCCATTTCTGTGCCCTAACTTCTTCTGTCAAGTCAAATCCATTTTCCTTCAGACCGTTGAAGTCAATAATCAGTTCAGACAACACTTCCAAATTCTTCACTGGTGTAAGGAGTGTTCTGAAAGGAACTTGGTACTGTTCAGAGGAATCCTTCTTCTGAGAACCTGCAGAAGCATTGCTGGAGGTTGCCATGTTCACACTTAGGGTTTTTCTGAGAAAAGTGAGAAAATGGGTTTAAGTTTGAAAGATATGAACACAGAGAAAATGCAGAAAATATTTGAGAGATTATGAGAAACGGTAAAGGATTAATGTGAGAAGTTAACGTGCTTAAATAGATTTCAAAATACTTTTTGAAAGATTAAACAGTTTCAAGAAAGAGAAATAAAATCATGATTACGTTTTTAAAACATGATTACTTTCATTTAATGCTTGCTGATTTTGGGGGATTTGAGAAAGATACTTGAAACGGTTACCAGACATGTGTCTCAATGCACCCAATCAGAGTT